GGTACCATGGACTCCGACCATGGCCCAATTACGGAAATACAGACTAAGCCCATAACGGGATCAAGCCCATAATGGGATCAAGCTCATAATGGGATTAGCCCATAACGGGATCAAGCCCATAACGGGATCAAGCCCATAACAAGATTAGCCCATAACAGGATCAAGCCATCAACGGGATTAGCCCTTAACGGGATCAACCCATGAATGGGATGAATATCAATTAGCCGCTTGGCCTAATCAGGAATCAGACCCACGACAGGAATCCACAGCCAGGCCAGACTGGACAGCAGACCTCGAGCCTGGGCGGAGTTCTAGTGAAGTCGGGACATTCCTAAGGCTTACGAGGCAAGCTATCATTCATGCATAGCTATCTGGCAGCAGGCAGGAACCAACGACAGGAACGTGGACTTAAAGGAACCATCATTGCACAACGTCCAAGGCGTTACATGAGTCCTATTCGATTACACATGTAATTAATACTCTCTCCGTCCCTAATAACTTTGCCAAGTTTGACCGGCACGAGGAATAATAAAGTAGAAACTGTGTGGTTAAGATTGTGAAAAGGAGAGAGAATGAGCTGAAACCATAAATTCTTTACTTAAAAAGGAAAGTGGCAAAGTTAGTGGGACATCTAAAAAAGGAAAGTTGACAAAGTTATAAGGGACGGAGGGAGTAGCATTTATTGTACCAATTTCCTCATAGAATACTAGTTCCTATAGTGTATAAAAACTTCCTGTAAATTTCCTATCAAGGGACCGAACTCCGGATAATAGAATACTGCCTTACGCTGCCATATTTTCATCTGCTCTCCTAGATATATCTCTCGTAATTGGATTAAACTCTATCAATAAGTATATAATTTAAAATGATTTTGATAGTAAATGATCAATATTGAAGATAATGAAAATCAAAATTAGATGTTTCATTTTACCGGTCTACCCACTTAACCTACAACTCGTCTAGATTAACATACAAAACCGTAGAGTTCATTGAGTTAATAATGACTGTTGGAAAAATGTATTAAAAATTGCATAAAATGGTCATTTTGGGGCAATTATTTGAGTGGGGTCCACTTCCGATTTGAGTCGGGTCAAAGTGGTTTCGGATTGTCCTTGTTACGGGCTACAATTCGATATATGGTACGCTCAAAAAGTATAACGGGTGAATGAGAAATTGATTCTCGAAGTTCACTCGTTGAAATGGAAAAACTAGGAAAATGATGAGTTTCTAGTGTGTTTTATCCCACATCGGAAAACTTAAGGGATTTTCACCCCCTTATAAAGGGAAGCCTCTTTTAAGGAGTTAAGATTCCTAAAGGTAAAGGCTCTCTCTTACGCGCAGGGGGGGGGGGGGGGGGGTGCCGATCAAATCCCGAAACGGAGAAGGAAAAACCGCGACTCGTGTGCGCGGGCGACCTGCGGACACGAATGTCGTCCGAAAATCTATCATTCAAAGATACGGTCTAATTTTTGTTTTTTCCCAGTGATAGAAGAGGTCGAGTTCTGTTCGCAACAGAGACCCTCAAGGCCTTCTCTTTTAATGCTGCGTTAAATGGACAGTTTATGGACGATTCAATGCCCAACGGACTGGTCATTGATGTCCAACGTTCAGGTCCATTAACACCCCATTTAACACACAACAAATCCTTCTATAAATAGCTGGCAAGTGGTTTGCAACAAGACACAACGCACAATACATTCCTCACGAATTTCTTGAGCTAAAAACACCTCCAGCTACTCTGCAAATTCCTTCTGTGTTCATACTTGGTTCTCGTTCGCTAGAACTCTTGTTTGTGTGCTGAAACATTAGTTCGTAGTCATCGTATCCTGGGAAACGATTGTTGCAACGCTCCTAGCACCGTGGGAGACAACAAATACGTTTTAAAGACATCGTGCGTAGCACGAGCTTTGACTAATTCTGCTTCATCTCCTTTCTTGTTTTTCTCTAGTCATTTTATTTAATTAATTTATTTTAATTATTTTCCTTCATTTTCCGAAACACACCCAACAATCTTAAAACGTATTTGCTGATTGTTCTACCGTGGTAAACAATCTTAAATCGTAGTTTGTCACTTTGGTGAACGAACTTATTTTTTTTTGTGTTTTTGGAAGAAACGTTAAAGAACGAAAATGACTTCTCAAGAAAACAGCATTGGTGTTGGGCAGAATGTTCTGAACCACAATCACTCTGAAAGCGGAGCACCAGTGAACAATAGTTCACAACGCGGTGCATCTGCTTTGGCCAACCAAAGGGCTATCCCTATGGTGACCGTGCCAAGCAACTCTGTGGAGAAACCCGAGAAGTTCAATGGGTTAAACTTCAAGAGGTGGCAGCAAAAGATGCTCTTCTATCTCACTACTCTCGGTCTTGCGAGGTTCTTGACCGAGGATGCGCTGGTAGCAACCGGGGGTGAGGTGGATGCGCAATCTTTCAACACGGTTGAGGCATGGAAGCATTCGGACTTCCTTTGCCGAAACTATGTGTTGAACGGGCTGCATGATGCTTTGTACGACGTATATAGCAAACTAGCTACAGCTAAGGAGCTATGGAATTCTTTGGACCACAAATATAAAAGCGATGATGCCGGCGCAAAGAAATTTGTTGTTGGTCGATTCCTTGATTTTAAAATGGTGGATTCGAAGACGGTCTTGAGTCAAGTTGAGGAAATGCAAATGATCTTCAACGAAATTCGAGATGAAGGAATGACACTTAGTGAGTCTTTCCAAGTGGCGTCAATTATCCATTTATTGCCGCCGGCTTGGAAGGATTTCAAGAACTACCTTAAGCATAAGCGAAAGGAAATGAACTTGGAGCAATTGATCCTCCGTCTGCGGATTGAAGAGGATAACCGGAAGAACGATGGGAAACTCCCAATCATTAACGGTGCCAAGGCCAACGTGGTGGAGCATGCAAAAGGCTCCAAAAATAAAAATAATGGGAAGAGCAAGCTCGGTCCCAAGGGAGGCGTTTCCAAGACGAAGTTCAATGGAAAATGCTTCAATTGCAATAAGAACGGACACAAGTCCTCGAATTGCAAGGCACCACGGAAGAAGAAAGACTCCCAAGTCAACTTGGTGCAAGGTGGGCAAAAGGATGAAGACATCATCCTAGCGGCTGTGGTTACGGAAGTCAACCTCGTTGGATCCAATTCCAAGAAGTGGTGTGGACACCGGTGCAACCCGGCATATTTGCTCAAACCGGGAGTTATTCACAACTTTTGAGCCATCAAATGGTGAGAAAGTGTGGATGGGTAACTCGGCTCATTCCGCGGTTGAAGGCATGGGCAAGGTGGTCCTGAAGATGATTTCGGGCAAAGAGCTGACTCTCAACCAAGTGCTGTTTGTTCCGGAAATACGCAAAAACATGATTTCCGGTTTGTTGTTGAACAAGCATGGCTTCCACATGGTCTTTGAGTCGGACAAACTAGTTTTGTCTAAATTGGGAATGTATGTGGACAAGGGGTATGCATGTGACGGGCTGTTTAAGCTCAATGTAACGACTATTATTATTATTAATAATAAAATCCCTTCTGCTTACTTGCTTGAATCTTCCAATGTGTGACATGGTAGGCTAGGACATGTTAATTTTAATTCTATACGTAGATTAATTAACATGGAACACATTCCTAAATTCACAATTGATGTGAAGCACAAATGTGGAGTTTGTGTAGAGGCAAAACTAGCGAAAACGTCTTTCAAATCAGTTGAAAGAAAAACGGAACCACTTGAATTAATTCATAGTGACGTTTGTGATTTTAAATCAATACAAACACATGGCGGTAATAAATATTTTATTACCTTTATCGATGATAGCACTCGCTATAGCTACGTTTATTTATTAAAAAATAAACACGAAGCAATCGATAAATTCATTCTTTATAAGAATGAAGTGGAAAACCAACTTAATCGACGGATTAAGACGGTTAGGAGTGCCGATCAAATCCCGAAACGGAGAAGAAAAACCGCGACTCGTGTGCGCGGGTGACCTGCGGACACGAATGTCGTCCGAAAATCTATCATTCAAAGATACGGTCTAATTTTTGTTTCTTCCCGTAACGTTTTATTTTTCCCAGTGACAGAAGGAGTCGAGTTCTGTCCGCAACAAAAACCCTCGAGGTCTTCTGTTCGCAACAGAGACGCTCGAGGCCTTCTGTTCGCAACAGAAGGTATTCTGGTCCGTTACAACAATAAATGCCCAACGTTCTTCTCTTTTCATGCTGCGTTAAATGGACAGTTTATGGACGATTCAATGCCCAATTAACACCCCATTTAACACACAACAAATCCTCCTATAAATACCTGGCAGGTGGTTTGCAACAAGACACAATGTACAATACATTCCTCACGAATTTCTTGAGCTAAAAACACATCCAGCTACTCTGCAAATTCCTTCTGTGTTCATACTTGGTTCTCGTTCGCTGGAACTCTTGTTTGTGTGCTCAAACATTAGTTCGTAGTCATCGTATCCTGGGAAACAATTGTTGCAACGCTCCTAGCACCGTGGGAGGCAACGAATACGTTTTAAGGACATCGTGCGTAGCACGAGCTTTGACTAATTCTGCTTCATCTCCTTTCTTGTTTTTCTCTAGTCATTTTATTTAATTAATTTATTTTAATTATTTTTCTTTATTTTCTGAAACACAACCAACAATTACAACTTTAACTCATCATGAAATGGAATGAAATAGGCTTTGTCTTACAAACTACTACTCATTTTGACAGCTCTATCCATAATCAATCGAGTTCTCTTTTAATTAAATTCAAATTAACGAATTCTTATACAATTCAGAGCCCTTACAGTTTCAAGAATTTTTTTAACATGTATCTTATGGTACAATGCACGAGTACATACAATGCAAAAACGAAAAACCTATCCTATTTTTGTCTTTGTGATTCATATTAGTAATATACGTAGTAAATGTCATTCTTTCTTACCCTTAAAAATTTGGCTTGATTACCTAATAATTCCGATACTTGCATTGCATGGGTACTTCCATTTTTTTTCTGCCTTACAAACACTTTGAAACCTGAACATGCTGGACTGACTTATCCATACCAGGCCCATGCCAACTCCATTTGATCAAATTTCATATCTCTCTGTCCGGACTGCATAAACTAGAGAGAAGTTCATAATGCTTCCTTTTCTTCTTCTTTCAATATAAATGGACGATCGATTTGCATATCAGTAATAGGACAATTCATTCAAATCTTCATTTCCACCTGAAAAAAATAAAAGAAGTATTATCAAAAGATCTAAGGAGGAGATAGAATCGCCATGAAATTGCATAAACAGGGGAGCGTGAATCACAGAAGAGATGAAGAAGCAGCAGCGCAGAGCACCCCGCCATACTCCCCCAAAACCCTCAAACACCCAAGATCTCTTCCTAGATCCATCAACTATCTCCTAAGAGAACAGCGGCTTTTGTTCATCCTCGTTGGTATCCTCATTGGCTCCACTTTCTTCATCATACAACCGAGCCTTTCCCATATCAGCCCCACTCCTAAGGTGCCCAGATCGCACCCTTTTCATATCTCTGAAAGGGAAGCAGTTTCTTCTTATACCCCTTTCAGGGTAGGTAGCATGAATGGCGCCGGGATCGGCAGGGTTCCGGTAGGGATTGGGAGGAGGAGGATGCGGATTGTGGTCACAGGCGGAGCTGGATTCGTGGGTAGCCATTTGGTCGATAAGCTGATTAAGAGAGGTGACGACGTGATCGTCATTGATAATTTCTTCACCGGGAGGAAGGAGAACGTGATGCACCATTTCGGAAATCCCAGGTTTGAGCTTATTCGCCATGATGTTGTGGAGCCCATTTTGCTCGAGGTTGATCAGATCTACCACCTGGCTTGTCCTGCTTCTCCCGTCCATTACAAGTACAACCCTGTCAAGACAATCATATCCTTTTTTACTTCAATACCCCCCCCCCCCCCCCCCCCCCCCCAATAAGGCATGCTCTTTTGAAATGAATGCTGGCTGTTGAATCTGTGTCATGGGTAGTAAAATGTGTGTGAATCGTGATAACTGATACTTCTTTTGGATTTGGAGATGTTCTATGGAAACCTTGACTTAAATGTTGTTACAAGACAAATGTTATGGGCACACTTAACATGTTGGGACTAGCCAAGAGGATTGGTGCTAGGTTCTTGCTTACTAGTACAAGTGAGGTGTATGGAGATCCACTTGAGCATCCCCAGAAGGAGACTTACTGGGGAAATGTTAATCCTATAGGTAATTCTTAAGCTCATCGTATCCTTTTGTTGTCATGCTTGTTCTCAACCAAGCGTATTTGGTTAGGTGCTTTAATGAATTTTGAATGGTATGTAAAAACTATTAGGAGAGCGCAGTTGCTATGATGAGGGAAAACGCACTGCTGAGACTTTGACTATGGACTATCACCGTGGTGCAGGAGTAGAGGTAAAGAGTCAATTTATAATCTTGAATTGGATGGAGTAAAACAAAATATCTTCATTGTGCCGTGGCCCTTAAATTGAAATGCTATAGCACACATGTTTGAACTGCTGGTTATCTGAATGCCAAAGCTGTTCTTGCTTTCTTATGTCTGCAAAAAGCCTTTCTATTGAAAATCATTACAAGTATATTATTTTTTTATGTTTTAGTTTGTTTTTCTTTTCTTTTTCAGTGTGTGTGAGTGTGTTTTGCATCTTTCTAGTGTTTTATAACGGAAAATCCTTTTAGTAAATTCAAATGAAATGACTCCAAATAGGAGTGAAACATGGGTCATGGGTACAAATAGGAGTATCCTAGCTTTGTGCTAAATATATGTCTTATTCAGCCTTAAAGTAAAAATAAAAGTAGTTTATGATTCTTTTGTTCGAAGTGAAAAAAATCATTTTTGTAGGAAGAAACAAAGATGGTCCTTTTTCAAGACATGTTATGTTTTCATCCTATTTATCTCTTTTCTTAAATTAAAACACTTGAGCTTCCAAAGTTGGTTTCTTATAGCAAGGCAAAGGTGGTGGCCACTTTGTATGCACATATTTCCTCTCTTCGTTCTATTTAAAAATAGGTTTGGTATATTGAATGAATCTAATGTCAATTAATACCAGGAGTTGAGGACATTTAGGAGGGATGGTTTCCATTTCTTACAATGTTACTAGTTTTAAACATCATTCTGTGATATATAGCCTTATAAAGTTGATAAGCCCTTGAGGTTTATTTATTATTGATATGCACTTAACAAATGCAAATCCAATTTATAAATGAAGTTTCCTTGTCACGCTCAGTAAATTTGAAGTGCTGGTAAATTTCTATACATTGCAATCGCATCACTAGGATAACATACTCTGTGTAAAGAACATGTAGGCATTGGAATGGGAAAGTTGATTGTGTCCAACACAAAATGTCCACAATGGTAGTGCATTGCTTCCAATTCTTTGTGGGATCCACTGTCGTATCGAATGTTAAACACGATCAACTTTTACATATATCAATTTGTATTAGGAAAAATGGAAACCAATAATTCAACCTTTTAGCGGTCTTCTTACAATAGTCCCACCTTTTCATTATTCATGAATAATCTAACCTTTGCGCCCCATCTTCATTCACTGGTCCCTGATCGATTTATGACCTGTTATTCCAAGTTATTTTCTTATCTTTGCAAAACATGTGATCGTAAGGTGGTAAATATGGTATAATGTTTTACAAAGATAAGAAAACAACTTGGAATAACATGTCATAAATCGGTCAGGGACCCGTGAATGAAGATGGGGTGCAAAGGTTGGATTATTCATGAATAATGAAAAGGTGGGACTATTGTAAGAAGACCGCTAAAAGGTTGGATTATTAGTTTCCATTTTCCCTTTGTATTAAGCATGGGAAATTCTAAAAAAAGTGATGTATGCATGTTGAATACACCCGCGACATGTACATGAGATGTCATACTAAATGTCCCTTTTTTGTCCTTCTAAATACGGGGATACCCTAGTAACACCTTTGCACACAACATAATGTAGATGAAGGAAATGAAGTTCTTGATGATGTTTTAAACCCTAAATTACTTAACTTATGCACTTATATGTGCAGTCTGTGATAAGTACGAACCACACCCCACACAATTATTGTATATATTGATCACTGAAAGGAAGGTTTACAGTGATGCTGGTAAACGAAAACAATAACAGAAAGAAACGCAGGAAGAAAATTCAGATTGAGACCAAATCGAGAGGGTCTCTCTCTCTAAAACCAGAGTTCTACCAAAATTCCTGACTGCCCTTCTCCCTCCCCTTCCGTTACTTTATTCTCTTCCTTCCGTTATACGTGCACCTCTTCAGTAGCTAGTCTGCGTCCACTCTTTTTCTGCCAGTACATTCCCTCTTTTTCCCTTGCGAGTATAAACTTTAGAAAAGTCCTGGTTGGGATTAATTTGGCAAATAGCTGAGCTCGTATCAGTCTGCGATTTCACTACCTAAATTTAGCTGGTTACATTGATAATATTAGTGTGCCTGCAGATTATGGCCCTGCGATTTCACTACCTAAATTTAGCTGGTTACATTGATAATATTAGTGTGCCTGCAGATTATGGCCAATTACAATGTTTTCCTTTGCAGGTACGTATTGCTCGTATTTTCAACACATACGGACCTCGTATGTCGCTAGATGATGGACGTGTTGTCAGTAATTTTGTAGCTCAGGTTTGTATATACATAATGATTACATATATTTGTGTGTCTTTGATGGATAATTACTATTCACTTAAGTTGTACAGTACTTCATTTTGATCCTATTTCAAGCATCTAACAGTACAGTTTTTCCCCTAATGTTCTGTAGACTATTCGCAAGCAACCCATGACAGTTTATGGTGATGGGCAGCAAACAAGAAGCTTTCAATATGTTTCTGACTTGGTATGCTATGTAGCTATATAATAAATCTTAATGGTTGTGCAAGTGTCACTGCAGTATCGTCGATGAAACTTGTTTAAGACCTTTGCACTTTTTCAACTTAACTGTTTATAGAATTTCCATAAAGCCTTAATTATATGATATGGGCAATTGCTGGTCTTTAATCCAATAATTCAGAAGCATCTTACTTTTCATTTGTTTATCTGCAACTATGTTGCACGGAAACGTGAAAATCATAAGGAAACGGGAAACGGGAAACGTCAACTTTTGCTCAAAAAACGCTTATTTGAAGAGTTTCCAAAGAGTTTCCGAGAGTTTCCGAAACGGGAAACGTACTCTTTCCCAAGAGTTTCCGTGCTACATAGATCTGCAATAGTCCGTTTTTAAGACACCGTCTCCATCCTCACCCTTGCCAGATATAAACTTTTTCCTGAGCATTTAAAGATGGAATGTTTTTGATATTTGTCAATCCATAATACTGAAATTTGATGCAATGAAGTGTATTTGTTTTGATCTTTTTTGCTGAAGGTTGATGGGTTGGCAGCTCTGATGGAAGGAGAGCATGTTGGGCCTTTCAACTTGGGAAATCCAGGGGAGTTCACAATGCTGGAACTTGCTGAGGTCTGTTTTTAAGATGTTCATATTCCTTACTTCGGTCACACATTGCATACACGTGCTATATATAGGGTAAGGATCATATAGAATCATAAGATGGGTATGCATCTGGTCTACTACATAAATGAATGTGATGGATGGAAAAAATGGTGGCCATTTTGTAAATAAGTGGAAAATATTTTGCCCTGCACAATGAGGAACATTTGCATCATTGAGCAGCAAAAATGTAGTGTTGCCGTGCTGGTTTCTCTCAAAATGGAAAGCCAATGGAATCCTTGTAGTTTTGTGATCCCGCCCACCATAAATAAATGTGCATCATTGCTGAACTATTAATTTATGGTTCCTTCTTTGGGAAATGCAGGTCGTGAAAAAGGTGATCGATCCTAGGGCCACAATTGAGTTTAAACCAAACACGGCTGATGATCCTCATAAGAGGAAGCCAGACATCAGTAGAGCAAAAGAACTTTTGAATTGGGAGCCAAAAATCGCCCTCCATGATGGTCTGCCCCTCATGGTCAATGATTTCCGGAATCGCATCTTGAACGAAGAGGAAGGAAAAGGGAACTAGCTAGTATGAGTGAAATTGCATGTATAGAAAAAGAAGCGTACTCTAATTTGTGGTGCTTATTTCTTTGTCTAGCAGTTCATATATTAATTGCTCCTCCCCTCACACGCCATCACTCCAACAACTATAGTGCCTCTACAGGATTAGGAATAAGTGTGTATTGTTTTGATGTTGCTTTAAATTCAAATTTTATACCCTTGAAATTGAATTTGGTTAAAGCTTGTCTTTGATATTTGGTTCTCCTTTTATATATACTAGTAGTAGTATCAAAGATGTGCATTGTATGTGGGTAGCAGGTGATGAGGCGGAAATTACGCCGATAAGGTCGTGTGTTGTAGTGTTGCACAGTTGTATTTAATGTGTTGACGAGTTCATATATTTGTATTATTTATTTATTTATTATCGACGTTCTCAAATGTCTATTCTGATTATTGAAATGGAATTTCTTCCTCGAAATCTCAAATACAAGATTAATCAGCATATCAGCTCCACATGTTATAGTTGGAGTAGTTATTTTGTTTTGAGATAGATATACAGTAAACAGACACAGGGCAACAATGTTTCCCACTGCTGTGGCTTCGTAATCTTCCATTGCTTTAAATCTGTGTCCTTTGGCTTGCATTTTGTTGTGAGCACAATACGCTTTGCTGATACTCTAATTTTCAGTCAACTAACTATAACATAAATCCGATGGTGAGGGCAATGAGCGGTATCCTTATAAGCCTTGATTGGTGGTGGCAAGGCTGGACCAAAGCAAATAGAGGCCGGCCGGAAAGTTGTTTTTTTATAAAGCCTTTCTCATCCATACAAGTTCAAAGCAAGTCTTTTTAGAATCCTCAATTCTCCCTCCATTTAAGTCAAATCAAGAATTATTGAGCACTGTTTATTTCTCCACGTACACCAGGAGGATTTAATTGACAACAAAACTCCATCCCTATAAATGCATTTTGTGACTTCATAGCAGGCAGGATTAGGATGACATGGAGAAGGTTCTTATTGGATCAAGAAAAATTAATTAAAATATATTTCAAGGATTTCGTGGTTTATGTTACATCGATTATGCAAAATATGCTAATGAGAGTTCCTAATCTATTGATACTTTTCTTTTGTAATTTTTATAGTCAATAATAAATGTAATATTACAATTTATTTTTTTCACCCCAAAAGTTTTTTGAATGTGTGCTTAAATTTATTTCTCTCATCTGCAAACATTTTTAATCATACAATTTTTACTTTATTACTTCACGTTCAAGTAAAAATAACCAAATTTTATGAGATGAAGAGAGTATTATTTATGTGGTGTTTATGTTTTTACTGCTTAAAAAAATGTTACATGATTGAACACTTGAATATGAAATAAAGTATACTTAAAAATATAGCAGATGCTTTATTTTTTGACCTAACATTGTTGCATAGGTCTTGCATATATAGCTAGTTTTAACAAAGAATGTGTATGGATCTTAGACCGGTTGACTTAAAGCTGTATCACTTATAAATCTAGTGAAATAGAGGTTTGTTGATCTAGTGATGTGTGTATGCATTCATTACTACTCTAATAGACCATCCTTGTTCTTTATTGCATTCAATATTATTGTTATTGTCCAAGCATTTGTTCCGCTGTTGTGATTATTTGATACATTTTTCAATTGGTATCAGAGCCAAGCAAACTACAAGTTGGACAAGTCTGTGTGTTTATGGCTGCAAGTTCTTTATCACACAGTTTTAGTAAAAGTTTGTATTCTTTCAAACCTTTCTGATATTGATCAAATACACCTGTTTACACAATATTGTTGTGTTAGAATTGTGTGAAATTTATTTTAGGCTATTTTGATCAAGTATACGCAATAAGAACACTTTTCATAATCAACCGTAAAACTCATCTATCATCATCAAAACTTGATCAAATTATAAATTTTTAGTTTGTAATATCTAACTTGAGATATGTGATCGATTGATATACGTTTCATATCGTAAAATTTGAAATTTGGAACCTGTTTATTTTTTTCGTAAAACGACAAGTTTTTATAAAACCTTTGTTTTTGTAAAACCTAGTTTTCGTAAACCATCAATTTTCGTAAAACAACGATTTTCATAAAAAGTCTCATTTTTTCCGTAAAACTACCCGTTTTCGTAAAACCAGATTTTTCATAAAACTTTCAATTTTCATAAAATTCAGTTTTTGTAAAACTCTTAGCTTATGTAAAATATTGTTTTTCATAAAACCTTGAGTTATTCGCATTGTTCTAAACCTCGTTAGGCGTTAGTCGGGCGGTTGAGGGACGTCTAGCGTCTAGGTGGCCGACTAGGCCGTTTTTTGGGCCGACTAGGTCGATTTTTGACCGATTAGACCGACAAGGCCTCTACATTTAGGACCGACTAGGCCGATTATTCGGTCTGACTAGGCTGATTTTTAGAACAGTGGTTATTCATAAAACCTTTAGTTTTCATGAAACTTTTAGTTTTCGTAAAACTTTTAGTTTTCGTAAAAGTTTTATTTCTGTAAAACTTTAAGGACCTGTTTACTGACAGAGATATTTTACAATTTTTCAGAAACTGGGAAACTGGAAAAAGGAAATCAGAAAACATGTTCACAAAAAAACATGCTGGGAAACTGGAGAAAGGAAAACAATGTTTACCAAATCGTTATCCAAAACCCAAATAAGAGATATGCCTATGTTTCCTTAATAAGTTAGAGAAATGAGTTTTACTAGCTTTTTGAATTTGAAAAGCGCGGATGCGGCAGTCTCCTCCAAGAACCACAACCTTCCCTCCGAACGACCGATTTTCATTGTCAGGATCATTCTGGGTCATAATATCTTTCAAAGCTTGCCGGTCGGCGCACCGCAAGGCTTCCTCATGTGAGGTCGGGGGCTATCGCATGAACTCTTTGCGGAGCTCTCCCAGCCTCAAGGCGTTGGTGAAGATTGCGGCGGTGGATCTGTCATCCAGACCATCAACCTTCACCGATTCCTCCCTTCAGCGTGCCAACAAGGCGGTCAAGGTCTCCTAGCGTCCCTGTTTGACCCCCATGAGGTGAGATAAATTCTTCTTGGAGTCCTTGGAGCTGTCAAACAGTGCAACAAATGGTAGGGCTAATTCTCGGAAATTTTGAATCCTCCCATCAGGTAGGGAGTCATACCATTCCCGGGCTGGCACGTCTAGCGTCACTGAGAATCCTCTGCATCTGATCGCATTGTTGTACCCCATCATCACCATGTAAGCCTTGTACATAGAGACATGGTGGTGGGGATCGGTCTTTCCTTGGTAGGCCTCAATGTTGCAAGGCTCATACCCTTGTGGCAGGGGAGCATCCATGATCTGACGGATAAATGTCTCAGGAATCCTTACATAATGATTGAGATTGATTCTGCCATCTACCACCCTCCTGAGTTCGTCGCGTCGCCTTCTGAGGTCGTCATTATCCTGGCCGGTCTGGACACGAGGTGGGGAAGTACGGTCTCCGTGGGCTCGCTGGTGTTCATTGATCTCGTCTCTGTGATCTTCCCCACGCGTGTTGCGACGGTGGGAGGAGACAACCACAAAAGACATGTCCTCACTTCGTTCCACCCCAGAGGAGAGTCTGTCATGCACAGAGACCCTCCGCCCTCCAATCTGGTCCACTACCAATGCCCTTAGGGTCTGTCTTGAATGATGGAATTGCTGAGACCTAACCGGAGGTGAATTCCTCCGACGTCGCGCAGATACCTCCTCCTCCCGTTGGAGCACAAATGGAACCCAATGTGGGGAAGGAGGTCGTTCGTTCATGTTGGGGACAATCCCTTGAAAGGGAGTGGTCAAAGTTTGCACAACCCTCTGGAATGTCACCAAACTTGCCAAAGCTTGTGCCGGATCCACGTTCGAGATGAGATTCCCGATTGCCGCTGTCTGGAACTGTGGCGGGCGCGTTGTTGGACGCCTCGAGCTCCCAACACCTTGTAGGTGGTTCCTCAAATTACCCTGAGTCACCACGTTGTCATTCCTCCTTCGGAAATCGCTCATCGTGACCGCGAGCCTTCATTATCAATCACAACTTGGTCCGTTCGAGCACCACCTTGATTGCTGCAACCACAGTTGTGACTGTTGGATCCAACCATTGTCGTCGTAAATCGTTCTATTAACGAGAGCACCAAATGGTGGAGTTTGATTCCAACAACGAGAGCTAATCTACGAGAGCAGATGAAATTTAGGCAGCGTAAGACAGTATTATTATTCCCAAATTCTGATCCTTGGTAGGATGTGTACATGCAGTATTTATATACCTTAGGTTCTAGTATTCTAGGAGGAAACTGATACACTTAATGTCTTTAATTATAATAGAGTCTTGTAACGGCTTGAACGTTGTGCAATCATTGTTCCTCTAGGTCCACATTTCTTTCGTTATTTCCTGCCGCTGCCAGATAGCTATCCTCGAATGATAGCCTGCCACATAAACCCTAGGAAGAGTTCGACCTCGCTATAACTCCGCCCATGCTCAAGGTATGGTGTCCAGCCCGTTTGGTTGTGGGTTCCTTTCGCGGGTCGTATTCCTGATCAGGCCCAACTGATAATCATGTAATTTCCATGTGTATGTTTGTATTTTTTTATTAGTTTTGATTGATTTTTACTTTGGAAATTACACACTTTTGGTGTAATAGTTTAGTTTGTTAAATTCTTGTAAATTGTTTAGATTAGGTTCATTCTGAGCTCAAACAGGTCTTGATCACTCAAAGGACAGTTGGTGAACCCCAAAAAGTTGAAGAAAGGTGCATAATCTCAAGACAAAATAAGGATCCTGAATTTTTGGCCTATACCGAGTCGGGTATCATCTATACTCGATCGGGTATCTTGTTGAAACTTCAAATCGGATCAGATCCGAAGACAAAGGAACATGCATGGAAGATTTTGACCACGATCGAGTGTCTATACCCGATCGGGTAGACCGACATACCCGATCGGGTATGCCTTTGAGTTTAAACCCCAAATCCGGTCGAGTATAGCTCGAATATCATTTTCTACACATACTCGATCGGGTATAAAAGCACACCCGATCGGGTATACATATAAAATATAGCCAGAATCGATCGATTATGCTTCGAAGTTGACGTTTTACACATACCCGATCGGGTACCGTGTATATACCCGATCGGGTACCCGAGCTGCATCCCAAGAGCCTATAAATACACCCCCTTTCCTCCACAATGAGATATCCAATTCCTATATACTTCTAAGCTCAGTCTAGAATAGTTCTTTCTTTATATTTTCTTCATGTTTAGTCTCCAAATGAGGAGCTAAACTCTTTCATCTTGGTTTTGCTACTTTGAAGCTTAATGATTTGTAAGTTGTGAGTTATTTTCTTTAATCTTTTTTCTTGAATATTAATTACTTCCTATTCATATTCTATATTTATATTTTGAGCATTACTTTAAAGATCAACTAGTTTTGCTTCATC